AGTTTCTTCTTGGGATGAGAGAATTTGTCTCCTTCTGTTCAGGGCTCCCCATGCTGTATTATGTTGAATTCTAAGTTGATTATCTCAGGGAGCCTCTGTAGCCAGCTGTTATCTAATCGCCATTTTTGCTCCCTCTCCCACATCATCAATTTGTGATCGAACAAGACTACTACGAGCAAATTGGCCTAGCAGATGTTTACACAGTATTCTACCCAACCACATTAGAATATATGTTCTTCTCAGCTGCACATGGGACATTCTCAGTAAGCCTTCCAGACACACTTCCAAAGGTTCAGCTTCTGCGTCTCCATTTCAGCTCTCTGAGGTTTCCAGTCATACTCAGTTGGCTCTGAGGCAGCATCACAAGGCTGAGTCACCATTCACAGCTGGCTAAGAAACAACAAGGCACAAACAGCAAGAGAGAGAGAGACAAATCTTCCTGCCATTACATCATCTCACATAGGTTTTTTTTTGTTGTTGTTTTTCTTTTTTTTTTTTTTTTGTCTTTTTCTTTTTTATCGGTACCAGGGATCGAGCTCGCAACTGCCTGCTTGCAAGGCTGGCACTTATGCCACCTAGCTAAATCCTCAGCCCCCTCACATAGGTTTTTATTTACGATGTTATCTTTTACATTTTGTAAACAAGTACTCAGCTGAGGTGAAAATGTAAATGTTGGTGTCTGTTGTAAGCACTTACTACATACTTGGTATTTTATTTTTTGACATTTTATTTCTCTGCTGAATGCATGTTGTACAGTATTGTAGGGACCTCCTGACAAAACAGGAAAAGAAGAGAGGTAACAAGGCTGCCACATAGGAAAGAAAAGCTAAACACATGTGCTGTCAGTGCAAGTGAGATCTGTGCATGGAACATGCAGTTATAAATGCAAAGATTGCCTTGGGTGTGACAGTTGAAGCAAAGCTTATTTTTTTAGAGTTATATTAGTATTTCCATTGTAGTTCATATAGGAACTTATTTCTGATGTTATCTTCTACATTTTCTAAACAAGTGCACAGCTGCTGTGATCACCTTCTAAATGCACTACGTATTAAGAATTTAAGACTTTATTAATATTTTATGTTCCTGTTAACTGCACACACTATAGTAAATTGCCTCCTGACAAAACAGCAAGACCACTGAGATGTCAAGTATATCGTACAAAAATGCCAGGAATGCAAAAGATACATGCTGTCAGTATAAGCAATGCACATGTATGGAACATGCTGTTGTCATGTGAGCAGTCTACTTCAGGTGGAGTGCTATTGGCATTTTCATTGTAATTCATATGGGAATTTATTTCTGATGTTCTTTTTTTAGACTTTGTACACCAAAACTCATCTGAGGTTGAAAATTGTGATGCTTTTTTATAAGCAGCAAATATTAAAAACTCAGTATTTTTGTGACGTTTCCTGTTAAGTACTCTCTAATATAATAAACTCATAAATTAAAATTAATAATTCATCAATAGAAATAATCAAAAAAATGTTTCTCAGGGTGAAATGAGACCCACATTTATGTACCTTGATGACAGAGTTAGTCTTATGCCCCCTTATGTCTCATTTAACATTATAGTCGCAAGGTGCATCCATTGTCCTACAGATGACTCAACTTTATATTTACCTACAGCAAAGTAATACTTAATTGCATGTGAATATCTCATTTTGTTTATCCATTCATCTATTGCTTGGCATGTAGGCTGTTTCCAAGATTTATGTATTAAGGATTGTGCTGCTATAAACATGGGTATGTATATATCACTGTATATAATTCTTTCAGGCAGATGCTTAGGAGAAGAGCTAGGTCAAATAGAATTTCTAGTTTTAATTTTTTGAGGAATCTCCATATTGGTTTCCACAGTGGTTGTACTAGTTTACTTTTCCACCAGCAGTATAGAAGGGTTCCATTTTTACCGCAGCCTCATTAGCATTTGTGATTTTTTGATTTCTTGAAGATGTTCATTTTTTCTGGGGTGAAATGGATTCTTAGTGTTCTTTTAATCTGCATTTCTCTAGTGGCCAGCAGTGTTAAACATTACTTCATGTACTTATGGACCATTTGTACTTCTTCTGTGAAGTGTCTGTTCATTTTACTTGCTCATTTTTTTGATTGAATGTTTGGTTTGGGGGAATGTAATGTTCTTTAAGTTCTTTATGTTTTCTGGATATTAGTCCTCTGAGGAATAGCTGGGAACTGGTTTTCACATTTTGTAGTTTGTGTTTTCACTGTGTTGGCTGTTTCTTTTGCTGTTTTCTTTTGCTGCAGAAGCTTTTTAACTTGATCTGATCCCATTTGTTGATTCTTGGTAAAGATATTCCTCATTTCATGACCTACTGTTTAACAACTGTTTGGACTTACCAAGATATGCTGTTGCTCCTTAGAAGCCATCTTTTTTGCTTGTGAAGTTTTTTATATTTTGTTTATAAAGCCTTAATGTATTTTTCAATGTATTTTTGTACAATATACTTTGCTTATGTAGTACTATAATTTTGCTGATTATACTGTACAATACTGTATATTTGTGTTCTGTTATACATTATTGTACTACATGTAAGAGTTATGCAAATTAAAATCAAGTTGGAATTTTATTTGACCATTTCTTTGTTCTAAATATTGTAATGTACATACCATATTCAGTTCCTTATTTAGCAATCAATTCATAACTCAGTCAAACTAGGAATGTCTGTAGTATTTCCTCTGCAGCTGAGGTTCTGTTGAGAAATTCCTTGCCTATACCTATGACTTTAAGAGTTTCACCTATTGTATCTTCTGGCAGGTTGTTTCTGCTTGAACATTTGGTTGTTGATTCATTTTGATTTTATCGTGGTACATGATAAATATGGAGCTAGATTCAGTCTTCTGCGTGTGAATAGCTAGTTTTCCAAACAGTTTGTTAAAGTGGCTTTCTTCCTTCCAATAAAAGTTTTTGGGACCTTTGTCAAAGATCAATAGCTAAATATGCTTGGGCTTGCTTCTGCATCCTCTGTTCTGTTGCATTTTTCCTTGTATCTGTTTTTGTGCCAGAACCATGCTGGGATTTTTTTTTTTTTTATCACTGTAGCTTTGTAATATGACTTCAAGTCTAAGATTATGATGTCTGTCACTATGCTTTTGTTATCTAGGATTACTTTTAGCCTTTTTTAGGTTTCTTCTGCTTCCGTTTTGAATTTGAAGATAATCTTAGATTGTCTTAGGTAATCGTATAAGAGTCTTATTCCTAACATCTAGGAGCATTTGAATCCATTTTTCATGATCTCTTGTGCTTGTTAAGGTGTCTCATTAATTGGTCGCCAAGAATAGCCTTGTCTTCTGGTTCTAACACTCTGCCCTCACTTCCATTTCTTCACTATGGTCTGCTACCTATAGTTGCAATAGAATTTTTAATCTAAATTTCTGTTTGGATTATATTTGTAGACTCTTGATTCTTTTCTATGGTGGTCATTCGTGTTTTGCATCATTTTGTTTAGCTATGGTAGCTTTTTGTTAGTGTTTTGTGTGGACTGGGTGGCAATTGTTTGGCCCAATATCTGTTTACTTACATCTTTTGCTAGCTTGCCAAATACCTTATTGACCTGTTTTGTTATCATTCTGATATCATTTCAAATAATTCAAGTTGTGACTTTTGGTTCATTCTCTTTCAGAGCTCCATGTATCAGTTTCTGGAGGCATTATGTTTGCTTGTCTTCTCATGTTTTTATTTTTGGTTTTAGTTTATTTGTATTGAGGCTGCTAGGTGATTGTAGTTAAAAATCTTGGGTTTTGATATAGAGACCTCTTTCACTAATGTCTGCTTTTCAGTAGTCTCTGGACATGGCTGGCTGTTGGCTTTTATTCCTCCATTTACTCACAATGGGAGGTTGCAGTGTATTTACCCACTAACATTTTCCAGGAATGAGCAACAGTAGTGACCCTAAGGCAATCCAGATATTGGCATCCCAAGAAAACCAATTAATAGCAACAGCTATGTCATCTTCTCTATAGTAATAAAATCAGCAACAATTATATTGTCAAACTGAAATTGACAAAGTCTAAGGACCAATATTATACCACCCTTTACCATGGAAGAAGGATCTGTAATTATAGCATGAACACAAAGCCAAACTAATATTGACCTACTATTGTTCTACAATAAACATCTCCTAAATAGAATAACTTAACCTTTAATAACAGTAGAACCACATCCAGCAGCAGTAGTGTAAAGTTAACTAGATAGCTAGAGAGATTCATAAAGCTTAGTAGTTGTACTACTAAAGGTAGAGAGAGTGGGAACCAAAAAATGAAAAAAGCAAAATTTGAGAAATTAATCAGTATGTTTGAGAAGGTAGAGAGAAAAGTGAGATATTTAAATAAAATTTAAAAATAAATAAATAAATAAAAAGTGAGATAGTTCTATTGAGCAGTAAAAAGAAAGAGTATAGTCATGGGAAAGAACAAATAAGAAAAATGATAAACAGCAAAATATAGGAAATGAAAGATAAAAAGAAAGCAAAATTTGAAAGGGGAAAAAAGGAAAAAAAGTGAAAAAAAAAAAAAAGGGAGTAAAAACCTCAGACCTCCAAAGAACCCAATGATGGAAAGATTAAAAAATACTGACACAGCCCTTCAGCATTTTGCAAGGTGATGAAAGAAATTATATTTTATTATTATATAGTAGCAAATAAATGAAGGTTCTACTTAAACTAAGGAAGGTATATATGTGCTGAAGAATGGAGAACGATACAGTGGTATTTTAAATGAACATAAAGAGAAAAAGCAGATAGAACTTACCCTGTTACTATACTTGATTTTGTCTCCTTCGCTTACTGTTTTCTCTTATGTTAATGAGCTTGTCCCTGCTATCTTTAGTATATAGATGTATATAATACCTAATAGAAATTATAGGGGAGATTTTTCCTCTGATACTAGTTTATCTGTCAAATTTGATCATTGTAAGTATTAAGAATTACTGTATTGCCAAAAAACACACATACAAAATTGTTTTCTTATTGAACGTTTTGTTTTAGGTGACTTCACTTCATGCTGCATTAGAGCAAGAAAGATCTAAAGTGAAAGTATTACAAGCAGAATTAGCCAAATACCAGGTATGCTTTTACCATTTTGAAGCATTTTCATCATAAATAGTACATTTGGAGTAGATACTATATGAGAATAATTGCACTATTAATGTTAAACCAAAATTTACCCACAAACTGTATTAATAATTTTGGTATTGGTCATTGATCTTGCTTTTGGTACATAGAGCAGTACTAAAGTAATTCAGGAAAAGTATTGGAACTATACAGCAGATGTAGTATACATCCCATTGACTCATATTGGGGAATGATGTAATGACACAGAATGTCATTTGTCCCATTATATCATTAAGTTTGATTGCTTAGATACAGTAATGCCTACTAGATATCTCCATGTGAAGATGTCCTTTCTCCTTTATATTTAATAATATGTGGGTGATGCTTTCATATTGTGAGTTTTTGTCTAGTGATTTTACCCATTGATGATACTTATATTGAATATTATTTTGAGGATTGCAAAATCATGTTGGGCATGGTGGCACATGCCTGTCAGCCTAGCACTCTGGGAGGCTGAAGCAGCAGGACTGCAAGTTCTAGCCTGGGCAGCCCACCAAGACCCTTGTTTTAAAATAAAAGATAAAAAGGAGCTGAGCAAATGTAGCTGAGCAAAGACTCTGGGATTAATCTCCAATTTTAAGAAAAAGTTATTTTCTAATTCTGTCATTTTTTCCTGTATTTACAAGATTGAACTCAACATTTTACCTGAGTGAAGCAGTTAAAAAATCAGTTATTTATTCTAATATACATGTTTGTATGTGCATATACATGTATATTTGTATGTACAGATGTATGTGCCAAAATTATGAAATCCATTAATGTAAGACCATAGTCGAAAAAGCTCATAAGCTACTCTAGTGGCTTAGAGAACATAAAAGCAGTTTAGCTCAAGCTTTGTGAATTGTTGAGGAAGGAGAATTCTCTTTGCCTGGAAACTTTGGAAAGGATCTTTATATATTTCTGCTTTTAGGTTTCTTTTAAAAAAAATCTCATTGAGCAGCATGGTCAGAATTTTAAGCTGCATAAAATTGGCAATTATGAATATTGCTTGTCTACTTTAACACGTTCCCTACAGCTTGAACTAATGGTGCTGCATGCATGACTGTCCCATTGGGTGAACCCATCAGGTGGTTATGCAGTTGGACAGTCTTTTATGTACCAGCAGTGAGACACTGGAATTTATGGCTCCATTGTGAGTGCTTTAGAGAAAAGTTTTTCCAAATTCCTTTTTATTTTCTGCTTACAATAAATCTTGTCTTTAAAATGTCATTACTTATCTCATATCCCAAAAAAAATCTTTATGCTATTTTTCTATGAATAAATACTTACATAATTTTTGTGATCATTCTGTACTTTGTTTTTGTGTATTTTTTAGATGTAAAAATGTTTTGACCCCAAGAGAGATGCTATAGGCAGGAAAAAGGTGAAATAAATAAAGAGGAATGCCATCCATTACAATTGAGTGTGAGCTTGAGATGCTGCTGTTGTGACCACTGCTTTATAAATGTAATTCCACAATCAAGCAGCACCCAAAGTTGGGTGACCATCAGAATTTTGTGGAAATGTTTTGAATTCCATATTATAATTCAATTAAAGAAGTTTGGAAAAAAAACCTGAACATTAGAATTTTTTAAATATCACTGCTTAGTCAAATCTTATGACCAACTAAATTTGGATACTATTGCCAAAGTTTAAAAATTGGAAAAATGTAAAACTATTAGTAATTAAATCTATCAAACCATTACTTTTAATTAAATTGAGGAATAGAGTAGGTATGCATGATTTTTATTTTCTTTCCTTTTTTTGTTTTTGTTTTTGTCTTTTTCCTTTTTATCGGTACTGGGGATCAAACTCACAACTGCCTGCTTGCAAGGCAGGCGCTTATGCTGCTGAGCTAAATCCCCAGCCCCATGATTTTTATTTTCTTCTTTGTATCTTTATCTTTTCCAAATTTCTACAGTATTTGCTTTTTAAATTAAGATGAAGCACAATATGTTATGTTATAAATAATGTATATAACATTCTCCTTGTCTTTTAAGCTATTGTCCTTTTTCCTTGACTCATGTCAAACACCATTTATGGTGTTTCATATGCAGCCAACTAAGTATAGATTTATATATGCCATAAAGCATTATGAAAAGTATAGCCTACTTTCCAGTCTACTGATAATGAAGTCATATTTCTAATATTGTTTAATATGAACAATACTAGATAGAATAGGAATTAGAAATTGAATTACCCAGAAAGTAATGAATTGAATTACTAAATTTAGTGTTCATATGCAACAAATTAATTGTGTGATATTTATTTTGATATTGATCAAAAACCACATTTTTAGGGGCTGGGGATATAGCTCAGTGGCACAGCACCTGCCTGACAACTGTGACATCGTAAATTCTATTCCCAGTACCAAAAAAGAAAGAAAGAAACTTTTAAAAACTGTATTTTCTACTCTATTACAGTAAAAATGAGTCCTAAAAATTAAGAAACATGTGATGTTACAAATTAAGCCTAGACAAATTTGTGTAGAACTACTTGAACTGTTTTCTACAATCTATTTTAAAGATTTATTAACATTACCATATAAAAATAATTTAGTCATATTTGCACTCAAATTTATAATGAATTCAAGAAAAAAATGTTTCATTTTCTTATTTAAAAATTCATTTGTTCTCATATAAAAATGGCCTCAAAATGGTGTTTCCTAAGTACTTTGCTCTATTTTTCTTTACAGGGTGGCAGAAAAGGAAAAAGAAACTCTGAATCTGACCAGTGTAGGTGATTACACAGCCTTTGAAGTCAACCCCAAAATTAAACTTTCAGGGTTTTTCAAAAATGTAGATATTTAATGTTGTGTAACTGCTAAACAGTGCGGTTTTGTTGAAGGAACAACAAGCCTACTAGCTAATAGTCTATAATTTTATGTTTTTGGCTTAAAAGTGAAAAGGAAAAAATGTAGAATTCCAGTAGAACTTAATGATTATTGATTATTGTTTACTATACATACTTCTTATCACTTTAGTTTTTCATCGTTCAATAAAATTACTTTACTATTCCTCCAATGCTTGATTTATTTAAGTTTCATAAACAATGTGAAAGCATTATTTTTGCTTATAGCTCACAATTGGATTCTCTGTTAAGCAAATATTTATTTAGCATTTTCTGTGCACTATGCCTTACTGAGCAGAAACATGGTTGAGTGAAATATGGTTGATGTCTTCAAATAGCGTATGCTTAGAGCAAATAGAGAATGGAAGAGGGTAAAGTAAAACAGGAACAAAAATAATCATCATGTGTATCATATTGTTTAGAAGTTGAGAAAACTTGCATGAGATAATTTTTACAAAGTATTTTTATTTTTTTGTAAATGTGTTGAAAATCGTTCCTGGCAAAAGGAGTGAAATCTAAACTGAAAGATTTGTTTAAAGAACAATCTACCCTGAGGACAGTAACATGACACACTGAGAACAGGAAGAGTACTGGTGTATGGGAAGGAATGAATAAGAGATTTTTCATTAGCATAGTCAATTGCTAAAATAATTAGTTGCTATGGGACTTTTTTTAGTATATTCAGTAAAATACAATTATGATTCAGAAAAAGAAAGGCTTTCTGTAAGTGTGTGATAACAAAGATGAATGCACAAATACTGGTCTTGGCCTCCAAAACTACCATTATATGAAAGATTCAACTTTTTGACCATCTTTGGAAGAAAACTATTCAAAAAGATCATAAAATTGTCATCACTGCTTATATGTCCGTCTTCTCCCATGAGATTATATAAATCTTGTAAATAGTTGTGATTTATAATTCTCTATATTTACAGTGTTTAGTCGTTAGACACAGAGTAGGGACTAAAGAAATCAAGCCCGTTGCTTCACTTATCCCAGAAGTCTACCACTAAGCTATGCCCCAGTCCAAAGAACCTACATTTTGCCTGCAGCATATATGTACATAGAGCAGAATGAGAAAGCCAGAAAGAAAGTGCAGGGATGGCTGTCATCCAGCTTTGATTTCAGATTAATAGTTTAGTATCTACAAAAAACCATTAAAAGCTTACCAACAAAGGAGTCTAGTGACCAAGCTGTTCTTTAAGAAGACGGAAGTAGCAGTCATGTGATAGAAATTATTTTAAACGTCATTTGGAAGAGACTGTGAGGAGGTTTGTATAATAGTATAAACAGGAGATAAAAGAGATCTGAACTAGGAAAAATTACAGTGGGATTCAGAAAATGAAATAAATATTTCCACAGTGAAGTCTTTTAAACTTGTGAAAAATAAGAAAAAGAGTTAGGGCGTAAGAGAGAAAAAAAAGTCTCAGGCCTAGGTGAGATTGAAAGTAAAGGTTTCATTAACAAATACGTAAAGTGATTGATGAATTAATAGGAAGATGGACAGAACTGGCTTTTGACATTAAATTGGATTTTGTTTCAGAGAATCTAAAAGTAGAGTCCATCAAATTGGAGACGCTAGAGAAATTTGGATCCACTGGGTTTTGGATTCATCTACAGTTAGTGTATGAATACTTGACAAACTTAAGGATATGTATTTGGAGAGAAGTATTACTGAAGACAGACTTTGCGAGCAGAACAAAGCTGTCAGAAATGTGGGAGGCAAGGCTGTGAATGTTGTGTAGAGAGGTCTGAGGTTACAAACGTGACTTGATACATACTATACATCTTATCACTTACTATACATACTTCTTATTACTTTAGTTTTTCATCATTCAATAAAATTACTTTACTATTCCTCCAATGCTTGATTTATTTAAGTTTCAAAAACAATGTAAAAGCATTATTTTGCAGGACATTGATAACATTCAGAATGACTTGTTCAGTAGCACAGGGCAAGGTATTGAGGAAAAGTTAAAATTCTTTTAAGACTTGGTAATTTATGAAGAAATCTTGGACTGGGGCTGTAGCTCAGTGATAGGATACTTGCCTAGTGTGTATGAAGCCCTGGATTCGATGCCTAAAGAAGGGGGGAGGGATCTTGAGGTGCCCTACAAGGGGCTACAGATTGAGTTAGGTTGGTTTTTACGGAGGACAAAGTAGACCATTAAAATATTCACAAACAGAGGAAATAGTTAAGAAAACAGAGATGGAAAGAGGAAAATAAAGGATTGATTTCAAAGCTCACCAGTTATTTACTTGCCATCATAAAATTTGGTTGCTTTACAATCATCTTGTAACTTACAGTTTAACACTTAATTAAGCTGCTCTCTGTTAATGAAATTATGGCCCTTTGAATATGATAGTTACACGAATGTTTAAATAGAACGTAAGGATTTTTTTAAAAAATATAAAATTATTTTATGCTAGTACACACTAGCATGTTTCTAGGCTGTGTAGCTATTGCCACCTATTGTAGCGAGGAAAAAAAATTGAAACATTAAACAAGATAGCAAGTGAAAGCCTAAGAATCTCCAAACTATAAATCATGAGTTGTTGTTCTGGGGTAAATTCTTTGAATATAAAGTGTTACTTCCTTTTCTAGAAAAGTCAGCACCCACTGCTGGTGTTATTATCAAGTACATATCTCTGTGTGCTATTATAGACCTTGCACTTTTAATTTCAGCCAATAGTAACAAAATAGAGAACCTTGGAAATAACCCCCGTGTCCAATTTGAATGCTAATGTAATACTTCAGTGGGAACTGGTGATATGTATACCCTAAAAAGATATAATTAGAATGACTGAAGATAGGGGGTATGCTGAACAAAGTTGTAAAGAAAAAAGTACAAACTTACATACTATGATTACAGCTATGTGACATAATATACACACACACACACATGGACAAACTGGAAAGTAGTTAATTCTGAAATCAAACTGCTCAGGTTGGGTTGGAGAAATTATGAGTCAGATTGGGTTTTCTCCTTAAAATTTTACTAACTTAGTGGGTTTGCTCTTTTGCAGTAAAAAGGACAATCACTTTTGTTTGGATTTATGTTAAGTAATTTGCTTTTATGAAATACATTATATCAACTTGCTTTATTGATTGACATGTTCAGTTGAATTAAGTATGAAGTATTATGCATCATGTCCTGGGCATGGAAGTTTTATTTTTAACCCAGAATCCTTCACTCTAACAGAAGTATGTAAGATAGCATTGTGAGCTGAATGACTAACATGATCGCAAGTTGCACTTGTTTTTACTTCCTGTTGCTTACATTTTAGAATTTTAGAAGTTTTATTATCATTAACCTTGTCATAGAGTTCTGGTGACAACTGTTGAAAATTAACTTTTTTGATAATCACATAACTAAGATGTGAATTATTTTATAGATTTTTGTCATTAACTGCAAGTTCTTTTTATAAATTTGTTAGGGAAGAGTCAATTTACCTCCCAGTACCTCAAAAGTATATATATATATAAAATACAGATTGTACCATCTTAAATAAAATTAGTTTTTAGAACAGCTTTGATATATAATTGACCTTTAATGGAATATATTACATTAGGATTAGTAAACATGCTTTGTGATTTCAGTTCTTTGAAATTTGTTGAGATATGCTTTAGGACCAATTTGTGACCAGTAAATGTTTTGTATAGCATTGAAAAACATATGTATTCTACAGTTCTGGAGTAATATGTTTGATAAGATCAAGTTTCTTCAAGTTTAATATATCTTTAATGATTTTCTGTCTTCTGGTCTATCAATTACTTAGAAAGTTATGTTAAATCTGTCGGTGATTGTGGCTTTGTCTACTTTTGTCCTGTTTTTGAGGTGTATATAAATTTAAAATTGTTTTATCGTTGTGTTAAAGATAAATTTTATTTCAATGAGTGAATCACTAGTATGTTTTTGACTTTAAAAGCCTTACTTCATCCAACACTGCAGCTGTGCAAGCTTCCCTGATCTTAGTGTTTTGTCATATATTTGGTATCATCCTTTTATTGTCAGTCATTCTGTGTATTCTTTTCCTTCCCCTTCCCCCTGCTTTTTCTTTCTCTTCATATTGGGAGTTGAATCCAGAACTTTTGTACTGAACTACATCCCCAGTCTTTTTTTTTTTAAGACAAGGTCTCTGTATTGTTCTGTTGCCCAACCTGGGCACAAACTTTTGATTTTCCTGCCTCAGCTTCTCAGATTATAGGCATGCACTGGCGTGCCTGGCTTGTGTCCTTATATTTTTTAATGGGTCTCTTTATTAAAGGCATATTGCATTTTTTTGTTTTTAATCTCTAACTTTTTCGATTTCTATTTTTTTTTCTCCCATTTTGTTTGAGTCTCTGATTTGGTGACCTTCTTCGTCATCAGTCTTTGATGCTTTTAAAACCTTCCAGCACTTTAACTTTTCAAACAGGTGTTAGCTGAATAAGCTGGCCTTTCATATCCCTTGAAAAGGAGGAAATAAATTCATTATTTCTATTTTTCTGTTAGTTGAGCTCTGCTCACCAGTTTATAGTAGTTTGATTTCAGAGACAGGGTTAACATGTTGAAATAAGTCATTTAAGGCCTGTCACTAAAGTAGCTATTTTGGAGCAGAGTAACTCACAATTAGATGGTTCAACACTTTGGTTCATCTTAAACCAATAACTTTTTTGCAGGGAGGGTCCAGCTCTGTAGTCCATACTGGCCTTGAACCCACAGTATAGCCCAGACTGACCTCAAACTTGCAGAAATCCTCTTGCCACAGCCTCCCAAGTGCTAGGACTGTAAGTGTGCCATAAAACTCAGCTTTTGAGCCAATAACTTTAAAATTGCCAAGTGTAACTTTTTGTCTCCTTACTCAATGGTAACATATATATACTAAGAAATAGTTTACATAATAAAACCTTTTGGCTTCTAGAAAGGGCAGTACTAGTTATATCACTGTGTAGTCTGTTTTGTGTTGCTCTAACAAAACACTGGAGACTCATTGCTTTGTAGGTTTACAGTTCTGGCCATGCAAGAGCATGGCATCAGAGTTCTAGTGAGGACCCCTCGTTGCATCACGATAAGGTGATACCAGGAGCAACAGAGATTTGGGGGTGTGCCAGGCTTACAACATTAATCCTTTCTCTAGACCTTGCCTCAAAGAGCTCCCATCACCTCAGGATTGCCATGCTGAGGAACAA